ACCTGTGTAGCAAGCTACTAGGGAGACTAAAAGATAATCCAAAACCAGGAGTTTAAGACCAGACCAGCCTGGACAATATAGCAAGGCCTTGTTTCCAAACAAAAAGCAAAATCAAAATCAACTATTAGATGCCTTCAATGGAGAAAGAGGTAAAACATGTTTCTAGAAAACATAAGTTCAGCTGGCCCTGCGTGGAATAGAATGTTCTAGAAAGAGCAATGCAGGTACAGAAGTGTCTGAGCATGTGTGAGAAGAGGTAATATTATTAAGCACTTCTGTTCAGATAAGTAAACAAAGTATGTAGGGTTGATACCACAGCTGTGCACCAGGGAGGACAGACAGAAGAAGGCTGACATATACATATCTCTACAGTTGCTGGAGATAAGTGGTGGCAGCTTCTTTATATTGGGCCTTTCCAGGTCAAGCACAGCTTTTTATTTTTCATTCCACTTAAGACTAATTAACATGGAAAGTCCACAGCCAGTGCTACGGACTCCAGATCTATAAGTCCAGAATCCCCAGAACTATGGGATCACACTACAGATGGCAATGAGCATGCCCAAAGTTTACAGGAAAAAAATGAAGGACTGAACATACATCCTGAAAATAAGGACTTTCATTAAGCCCTATGAAAGGGAAGAGTTGGATGCTATAGTCCTATAAAGAGATGAGCCTCTGTGTGAAGCAATGTGTAAAGGATGCACCACCCCACTGCTTCTCAGACATGGCTTCAGCCTACAGACTCGGAATTTATCAGTCTTGCTGCTCAATGAGCAATCTCCCTAGCAAAGCAATGCAAGTGCAGGGCTCAACTCCACTACCCCACTGATAATAGGATGGACTCTGCCTGCTCCCAACCATCACCCTAACCTGCCTAGAATGGGAGGACAGAATCAGGAATAAATGAGGCCCTAGTATTGGCTAAAAAAGCTGAGTTCCTCAGTTTGGGGCTTTTTTTTTTTTTTTTGGAAGAGGGGGTAAATAATTTTTTCTTCAAAAGCACCTGGGAAATGTGTATATTTGGTCATTACTATCTTCCAGAACCAAACATGGTAACCTCCACATTCTTAGGAACAGTTACCTTGCTGTCTAGAACATTTCTTATCAGTGATCTTGGTCTCTGGGCCACGCCCAATCACAATTACTTCTGAATGTGGAAGTTTGATTCGCTGGTGCTGGCTGTCCTGTCTCACCAACCAGCACACCCGCATCATCACTCTGAAAAAACACAAGGGAAGTGCTGGAGAAACAGATCTATTAACACAAGTCCTCCAGCGATATGTCCCATTGCCACCATGTATGTAATTTACCAACTGCTCATCTTGAGGCAGGTGGCCTCACTTCCTTAGTCTCAATTCCCTAACCTATAAATCTGATAATGACAGGACTCAAGAGGCTGCTGTGAGAATTAAATGAGATGACAGGGTACATATTTACCTCCCTGACTGAATCATGCTAAGCAATCAAATATTTGTTACCCATTTATTGATATACTCTATGTGGGAAACATTAAGCTACATGCTGAAAGTCTCCCAGGGATTAATATTGTCCCTGTACTTGTGCAGTACAGACTCAAATACTGATTGTTACAATATAAGTACTCTTAAGAAAATACCAAAATATGGCATTAACCCCGTAACTAATATCACTTAAAAAAGTATTTTAAAAGATTTCATGAGGAAGGGTATTTATGCAACGTTTTGTTTTGTTTTGTGACAAGGTCTAGCTATACAACACAGCCTGGCCTTGAGTTCACTATGTAACCCAGGCTGGCCTCAAACTCACACCAATCCTTCTAAGCCTCCCCAGGATCACAAGCATATGTTACCACTCCAGAATTATGCACAGTTTTAAAAGATGGGAAGGTGTTTACCTGCCACAGAATTAGGACATAACAATGAAGATTTTTTTGGTTGTTAGGTGTCCTTGCGTGCATTAGGTTTTCCTTTTTTAATTGAAATATACCTTTTAGAACAATATATTTTACTCCCATCTGCCATAATAGGCAAATCTACAATTTCTAATGTGTGACTATGAAACCTCTGTACAATATACAACCTGCACAACAGTGCAGGTGCTGATGTGCTCTTGAAAAACAAACTTTATGGCTAGATACAGTAGCAAAAGAGAAAGAAACAAAAAGTTCAGAGGAGAGATGAGGCCTGAACAAAGGCAGGAGTAAAGTGTATGGAAAGGAAGAAGAGCCAAAAGAAATCTGGACAACGAATAACTTCTTAGGACATTTGGGGAAATGACAAAGGATTAAAGGGAGACTAAACAAAGGTTTCTAGTTTGAAAGATGCCCAAAATGAAGAATATACAGGACTAAAAAATTCAAGAAATAAATGAATATACAGGAATATACACATTTTATGATAGCAGTGAAGAAAGGTCAATTTCATAGAAACACAATCAGTTTAAGTTGCCTGTGGAAGAGCCAAGAGTCCAGCTGGGATATACGGCATGAAGCTCAGAAGAAAGGAATGGACTGAATGCACATATTTGACAGGTATCAATATGTCACAGAAGCTGAGGCAAGGAGAAGGTAAGAATAATTATCCTCTTATCCAGGAAGACTGGAAAGGGGATCACTGTATGGGCAAGGGCAGAACTAGATCTCTGAACTGCCTCTCTAGACTAGAATCCTACCAATGGTCAGGCTCCTAATAACCTGTTATGGCTTATATCTAGATGTCCCCCAAAGCCTCACGTACTCTTGGTGGGACTTTTGGAAGTGACTGGATCATGGGTGTGTGGTATTAGATCATTCCACTAATTGGCTTAGCACAGTTCTGGGTGCGGATGATGAATTTACTGAAGACAGAAGACCCACTCTAGTTATGGGTGGCACCAACCAAAAGGTTTGTAGCCTGGATGGAATAAAAAGGGAAGGAAGGGCTGAGGATGTAGCTCAGTGGTGCCAGCACCTGCCCGGCAAGCACAAGGTACTGAGTTCAATCCCCAGTACCAGGAAAAAAAGGGAGGGGGTCATATTGCCTCCTGCCTGCCACACCATGAACTGTTTCTCTTCTGCCATGCCCCTTTGCCATACTATCCTGCATTGGAGTCAGCTGACTGTGGACTAAAACTTCTACAAACTGTGAGCTAAAATAATTCCTTTAACTTCTGGGTGTCGGGTGTTTTGTCTCAACAATAAGAAGGTAACTAAGACATTCTCTCAAGGAAATGCTGCCTATAGTCAAGACAGCACTTATGCCCTCTGTATAAGCTTTGTATTCACAAAGAAAGAAAGAAAACATGTATTTAAAAGTCAGCTTTATCAACATCTGCAAAGAGAAAACAATGCAAGGTAGAGTCAACAGATGAGAGCTGAAGAGGTAGGAACTGTGTTAGTGCAAGCAAATAAAAGCTAAAGTGAGCCAAAGTCCTGTATTAGCCAAGAAAAGCTTCCAGAAACCCCACAGTTAAGAGAAGGCCAGGAAGCAAGGGAATAATAAGGAGAGAAAGGAGGAGAATGCATTTCATTTTTAAAAGCACAAGTGATGGCACTCAACAATGACAAGCCACAGGTCAGGGATAAAAAGCAGACTTCACTGGCTACAGTAGAGGAGCTGGCCCACAAAGTTACCCCAATAAACTTTAGATTCAACATTGTCAATATGAGACAACTGCCAAAGTTTTGTGTTTCAGAATAAGATGAAATAACAGAAGTCAAAGAATACTTTGTCAACAACCATGTGATCAGGCTAGAGTGAAGAAAGGTAGAGTCAGACACTAGTCAGAAGGCTGTCAATATAACTTAGGCCAAAATCAGCTCAGCAAGTCTCTGAGGGGTTGATGCAAGAGCACAAAGAGTCAGCTGTAAATCTAAAATCCTACATCTTGATCACCAAAAAAATAATGGTGCTACAGGCACACCTCACCTTGAAATGCTGTATGTCCTAAAGGGTATCTGTTTGCACTTGCTAGAAATTGGTAAATGATCAGATAATGGACTGGAAACTCATGTATGTCTTTATTAGGCATTGGGAAGTAAGTCATATGATTAACTGGCTACTCATGCTGACAAGAGAAGCCAGAGGACAGCATAGTTTGAGAGCAGGGACAAGGAGGACTAACAGCTAAGAAACAGCCGGCTGTTACAGGGTGGTGGGAACTACCTCTCCTGCCCTCCACAGATAAAATACGTACTTTATTCTTACAGAGTTCTCAAGTCATGATGTTTCTATTTTCTTTCTTTCTTTTTTAATGTTTCTATTTTCTACTCCAAAAGCTGATGCAGTGACTGCACAATGCTTATACAGCTATTACAGTTCATTTTAGCCTCCAGACCCAATTTCTAGGAATGAAGTTTTAGAACATGGAAAATGCAGAAGGGTTGATGTTTGAATCTTCAATTCACTTCTTCCAGTTAAACTTCATAAACTACAAGCTCTAGAACAGCAGAGATCATGCCTATTTTTTAATACTATTTTTCAACCAGTTTTGTGTTTTGTCTGTTAGTTTGTTAAGAAGGGTGTTAGTATGTAGTTTAGGCTGGCCTTAAAATCTACTACGAAGTCCAAACGTGCCTCAAACTCACAGTGACTGTTCAGCCTCTGCCTCCTAAGTGCTAGGATTCTAGGTGTATGCCAGCAGCCGGTCATCATGCCCATTTTTGTTTATCAATATATCACCAGTATTTAATACAATGCTTGGCATACAGCAAGTATAAATATTTGCAAATGAACAATCAGATGATAATTCCTCCAACCCAAATGTTCTTGTTTTCCTCTACTCTCCCCTCCTTCTCCAGTTTTTCTTCTAGCAGTACAATGCTCTGATCCTCATATGGGATTGCCCAGGGAAAGAAGCTGAGGATTTACCATCCTCTATTTTTTAGCTCCGTGCCTTTCATTGCAGAGTTGAAGGGAGTGGGTTGAAAGAAATCCTGAGTCAGGCATAGTACTGCATGCCTGTAATATCAGCACTCAGGAGGCTGAGGAAGGAAGACTGCCATAAGTTTGAGGCCAGCCTGGGCTACATAGTAAGACCCTGTCTCAAAATAAAATAAAATAAAATCTGATCACACACACACACACACACACACACACTCTAGAACACTGGTCTTCAACTGAATTTTCTGCAATGATAGAAACGTTCTAAACCTGCCCATCCAAGAAAAGCAGCTCCAGTGTGAAGATGGAGCACATGAAATGTACTTAGTATAAAAGAGAAACTGAATTTGTACGTTAGTTTTTTTTTCCACTTAAAGTACCATAACTACATGTGGCTGAGAGTACTCAACCCAAACTAGGGGCAAGGAGGTGTAAAGAAGGAGGATGTGATCCTAAATACAGTCCTACATATTAACTGTGTTAATTGGATGAAAGGGGAAATCTAAGTGAGGACTAGAAGGAAGAGAGAGAAATTAGAGAAGACAAGGATTACAGAGCCAAAAGGTACAGCAAGATAAATGAACAAAGAAGAAACAGCACAGTGAGCATGAAGAAACAGTTCAGTGTTCTGGAACCTAAAACAGGGTGCAGAAAAGAGGTTATAGATCCAGGCAAGGTCCAGATGAGGCAGACCTGTGGGTAACAAACTAAGAAACCCAAATTTTGGAAATTACAATGGATTCTCCAACCCAACAGACAATAAATGTTTGCTGAATTAAAGAAAAGAACAAATATATGAACAGATAAATCTTTGAAGATTAAACAAGAATTTGAAAATGTGTTTCCAAAGGCCATTTGCAAAGGTACAGTAGAATAAAGAACACGTAGGTAACCGGACTAGGGGCAGAGAAGCCAGTTAGCCATCACATTTCACGTGAAAGATGATAAGGCCCAAAGTAAAATAAAACATTAATCTCTCCTATCTGTAGTTTCACTTCCTATGGTCTCAGTTACCTGCAAAAACAGTCTGATAATATTAAATGTAAAATTTCAGGCATAAACAATTCATAAGTTTTATATAACTTTTATAATAGTGTAGTTATAATTGCTATTATTGCTACAAGTTACTGTTATTAATCTTTTCCTGTGCCTAACTTATAAACTCAACTTTATCATAGGTACATATACACACACAAAAAAAATAGCACAGATAGATTTTGATACTATCTGCAATCTCAGACATCCACTGGAACATACCCCAGAGATAAGGGGAACTACTATGGTAGCGACACAGATAAAAGCACAGATCTGAAAAGATTTAGGTGGTAAAACCAGGACTTAGTGATGGATAAAAGAGTAAGTTAAGTGCGCATACTGAGTTCAGTTTCAGGCTTCCAAATCTGAAGTGTCTATGGGACTCAAAGGCAGAACTGTCCAGAAGGGTTCTTAGATGTGAAGGTAAATCTCAGAAAAGAAGGCTAAGATGAGAACTTTAATTTGGGAACATGTAGTAGATAGTTGAAATAGAAGTAGTTGGTATGTTCAATATGCACAGAATGAAAAGTGAAGAGGGCAAAGTCACAAGCACTGAAACATCCAGTATTCTAGGAGAGGAGAAAAATGACTATTCACAGGAGAAATGAATGGTGAGTGAGGTACCAGAGAAACAGCTACACTGTAAGAGGTATGATCAAGTAACAAAAGCATCAAAGGAATCCAGGAATGACTAAAAAACATCTGTCTCATTTGATATGTAATCACTAGTGCCTCTACTGAAATTTCAAGAGAATTATGAGTCTTAAAGCTACACTACAGAAAGGAATGAGAGATAAGAAAATGGGGCATAATTTAGAATATTCTTTAAAAGAGCTAACAGGTAACAAAGGGAAGAGATTTACCAGAAGACAGCAAAAGGAAGACGGATCACCACAGACTTTCTTAGACTGGGACAGAGTGTTAAGGAATATCTGAGACAACTGACCTTGATTTTCATGAATGGAACACAGACAGAAAGGAGCAGAAATGACAAATGAAAATAAGGTTTCAAAAGTGAAACCATAAAATAAAGGTCAGAAGCAAAGATAAAGGGATGTGCTTTGACAACTCCCCCTTTTAAGAACAAAGGAAAAATAACAATGACTGAAATCCAAATACTTTCTTTTTTATGGCAAATCAATTTTAGTGTTTCTTCCATTCCATATCATCAGAAAGAATGATTTCAACCTTCCTTTTACCTACATCAGACCACTCAGGTGACTTTTTTTAGAGAGGAAAGCAGAGGCAGAAATATGAGGGAAAGTATGTCTCATGATCCTAATGTTCTCCATAAAATAACTGGTAACAACACAGTGATGTGCTCAAGAATTTAATGAAAAGCTGAAAAAAATCAACAAAAAGAGTGAAGAGAATCAAGGCCTCTAAATTGGGCCGCCTGAATTCAAATTTGACTCCCCCACCTACTCACTATGCGACCTCAGGCAAATTATTTAATCTCAACACTGCTGTTAATAGGGAAGGTAGGATTAAAGCAGGAGCTACTGACATGTTTTTCAAAAAAAATCATCCAAAAGAGGGCCGGGGATTTAGCTCAGTGATTCTGGCACCTGCTTCACAAGCACAAAGGCTCAAGTTCAATCCCCAGTACAAAAAAAAAAAAAAAAAAAAAAAAAAAAAAATCATTCAAAAATGATGACTGCAACTAAGGTGAAGGGGCACAAATCTGTGTCTTCTACCCACATAAACAATCCTGTCTCAAGTATTCTACAAAATTCCCAATGTAAGTCAAATTCCCAAAGGTCTCCAAACCTAGAACACATTAATCCCAAATGGAACAGAACTCCAAATATCCCTGTTTTGTTGAACCGCTTCCACTGGTCTGAATAGAGAAAGGCTTGCTTCTTCTGGCATACCTGTGAGTTCAAAAGGAAAGAGGAACAAGGGACAGAGGGTGGGGAAGGGAAGAAAGGGAAAAGGGGCAAAAAGAGACTAGAAGGAAAAAACGGAAACAAAGCTTTTGTAAATTGGGTAAGGGAACAAAGGTTGGAGGGATAGAGGCATGGGGAAGAAAAAGAAAAATCAAGTTATGATGTACAGGTACAAATTCCCTATGATAAATGTGATCAATATGTATGACAAATATATACAAATAAAAATATAAAGTTAAAAAAACACTAGTTGGCTGTGTGAAGGAGGGCTCAAATTCCTCTCATGCAGTTTCTGGCGAAAACACCGAAATTACCAAAAGATAAGCTGCCTCCTTGGAATGGTCAGTGCCCGCTAAGATTTTCCTGCCTGCCTCATGACCAAAGTAGGAGGCACAGAAGTCAGAGGAACACGTGAACAAACTCAACGTGGGCCACAGACCGTCGCGAGCGCCCGCTGAAACAAGCCAACAGGAGCAGGAAAGGATGCCAAGAAACGAGCAACCGGAGTCTAACCCCCACACTGTCTGTCAACGCAGACTGCCAGCAGACAAGGTTCGCCGACCGCCCCCTTACCTCAAGTGACAGATCCGGGTATTCACTTTACTCTATGGCGCAGCACCTCTTCCGGCGCCCCTAGATGACGTCAGAATACGCCTCCGCGACCAGTCGGCGACGTCACCAACACGTCTCTGTGGGTTGGCTAAAAGCACAGGCCCTGTTGGTCCCTTGCTAATAACCCAAGCAGAGTTTCTGACACCCGTGAGATCTCTCGCATCTCCCTACTTCACCTGGCCCCGCCTCTTAATATGAGTCGGGAAACATCAAGCAATAATCTCCTGGTGGCCTTTTTTTTTTTTGGTAGAACATCTACTACTCTACTAATACTTTTGTTTATTGAAATTTTTAATCACTACATTTAAATCTTTTCCACATAATTAAAAGAAATATTCAACCATCTAACTGCTGCTAACCCATTCTTCAATTTTTTTTTTCTTTTATTGTGTTTATTGGTACATTTTAGGCATACAATAGTTACATTCATATTGGGATCTTGTACCTTTACATGACAGGTCTTGGTTCTCATTTTTTTCCCCTTGTCCGTGCCCTCCCTTCACCCCCTCCTCCCCTTCCCATTTACAAACACTTTATTTCCATTTTTTATTTTCTCATATTTTTTTCTTTTCCCTTATTACCTTTCCCCTACCCTTCCCATTTTCCCTACACCTTTAGCCCTTTTCTTCCTATTTCACATGGTCAATTATCTCATTAGGATCGTATGTACTATTATAGCTTTTCACACCAGAGAAACTATTCGGTATTTACACGTGTGACTTTATTTATTTCACTTAGGAGTATATCCTCAATATGTACCCAATTTCCTATGAATGAATCTAATTTCTCATTCTTTATGGCTGAGTAGTATTCCATTTTATAGAAAAACCACATCTTTATCCAATTTCCAACTGATGTGCAAATGGGCTGTTTCCAAGATTTAGCTATTACAAACTGTGCCGCTATAAACATTGGTGCGCATATATCACTGTGGTATGATTCCTTTAATTCTTTTGGAAAGATCCTGGTGGCCTTTCTATGCAGACACACAGCTTCTTGACGTTCCCTAAGAGGAGGCTTACTACATTTAAGACATCTTTTAAACCGCTGGAGCAATGCCACCTCTCTAAACTACAGTCTGCTTTCTTCCTTTGCGAGAAAGACTGGAGAGGAAAGAAGCAGAGGGAACCTAAGATTTTTTTTTTTAATGCTGTCTTCACTGAATGAACTGAGGGACAATCAAGGAGGAGAAAAACAAAAGGGGGCTGCAGTGAGATGTGTGTACTGATTTTACAGCAATTCCAGGACGGTTTACTATGAATCATGTATTGCAGTTTTTCAAAAGCATCTTTCCATACTCACGAATGAAATCATACTATAGTTTTTCTCAAATGCAAAAGCAGCAGACTTATGGAGTCCTATTTCTTGACCAAAATGGAATAGAATATTGTTGCTTTCCATGGAAAAGCAGAGTCTAATGTATGATGTAGCTATCATAGCTATCAGAAGGTGGGAGGCTTCTCCAGGAAACACAGAGACTTGCTTTTGTTAGAAGAGAAGGTGCAGGTTTATATTAGGATCCCACACATGAAGCACAGGAAGCATCTCAGCATCCACACAGCCTCATGGCTGAGGAATGTGGTTCACAACTGCATAAAAGGCAGTTCTAGTGACCTAACCAGTATTGTCTTTCCCTTAGAATTAAGCCTTTTTTAGATTCTTCTACCTGGCCTGCCTTTGTGTGTCTTGCATCTAAAAATTGGATTTGATCTTTTTAACTATTACATTTAATATTCAAAAGTGAGCAGTTTTCACAACTGGCTTGTTAGGTCTAGCCCACTGTTTATAGTGTATCAGTAACCAGAAAAGCCAGAGCACATTGCACAAGGCAGACAGTTAAGACTTTCACTGACTTCAAGCTGGGCATAGTGATCCCATACCTATAATCCCAGCATTTTGGAGGCTGAAGCAGGAGAACTCCAAGAGTTTGAGGCCAGCCTCAGTTTCACAGTGAGTTCAAGATAAGCCTGAACTACATAGTGAGACCATGTTTCAAAGGAAAAAAAAACTTTCACTGAGTTTAAACTGTTGTACAAATAATCTCCAGAACTTTCACCTTGCAAAATTAAACTTTTATCAATTAACTAATTTCCCCTCCCATATCGCTGACAATCCCACTATCGTATTTTCCATTTCCATGAATTTGATCAGTACAAACTTCATCTAAGTAAAATCATACAATATTTGGTTTTTGTGACTGGTTTATTTCAATTAATTAAGTTTCAATTAATTGAGTTTACAGTTTTGGGCACTGCAGCAAGTGTCAGAACTCCTGTTTTTCTTCTTTGTGGTACTGAGGCTCTCACACATGCTAGTAAAGCACTCTCAAGCTGAGTTACATCCCCAGTCCTGCAAAATAAATAAAGCAATTAATTGATAATAATAAATATTTGAGAAAATACTATTGATTTGGTCAAGTAGCAAGATAAAATATTTTTAAATTTTATGAAAAAGTTGAACATTTTTCTGAGAATATAACCTTTACAACATTAGGTTTTGTGGTGAAATAGCTATATAAATTCTGATAGTTTTTAATGATAATATTTTCAAAATCTTGGTAGTCATATCTATAATTGGCATACAAGTAGAAATGTTCTGTCTATAAATATGATGACGTATACCATAAACTAGCCTGTATAATTTACTTTGAAGTCTTCCACCTATAATTTGCACTTTTTGTTTTCAAGTCCTGCTTTTAGGACTCATTAACTTCTTGCACAGTCACTGTAATCCCAAGTACTGACACCCATACCATGATAGATCATGTTAGAACTTTCATTTCAATTCAGCATACTTATTTGTGTAAATCACAGATACTGTGGTGGTCTGCCCTGAAATTTTTTTGTAAACTTTAGAAAGAAAGAGAGGAGGGCTGGGGATTTAGCTCAGTGGTTCTGCTGCCTGCCTCACAAGTGCAAGAACCAGAGTTTGATCCCTGGTACCAAAAGAAAAAAAAAAAGAAAGAGAGGAATACCTTCTGACTTATCCTGGGTTACTTCCACTATCTCTTCATTGATAGGCTTGTATCAGCATTACTGAACTTTCTACACTTTTCCCCACACAATACATCCATCTATTGAATTTCTTGATGTTCAAGCTATTCCCTCTGGAATGTTTTCTTTTCTTTTCTAATTCACTTTTGGCCCCTCCAATGCATTCACATTTCAGCTAGAGAAAATAGTTCAAAACAAAAATCTGATCATGTCTCTCCCCTCTCTTTGTATGAACTTCCACAACACACCAAATTAAGACTACTGTAAACTCCTTATTTACTCTTAGTTCTAAAAAAAATCTTGCCATCTCTCTAATCCTATGTACCACACTCTCCTTACCTATTGACATGCCCTAACACAGGACCTTTTTTTTTCAGTCTGAATAATACTCCACTGTTATGTGTATGTATGTATGTATACATGATAGATAGATAGATAGATAGATAGATAGATAGATAGATAGATAGATATAGATACATAATCTTGTTTATTCACTCATCTGTTGATGGGCATCCAGACTGGCTCCATATCTTGGCTACTGTAAATTATGCCATGAAAAAAATGGGTATGCAAGTGTCCCTATAGTATGCTGACTTTAATTGCTTCAGGAATACACCAAGGAGAGGTATAACTGCATCAAATGGTAGATTTACTTTTAGCTTTTTTAAGAACTTCAATATGCATATCAATGGTGGCTATCCTAATTTATATTCCCAACAGTAGTACAGAAGAGTTCCTTCCCCCACCTCACCCGCTTCCTCACCAGCATTTATTATTTTTTTATATTTTTAGCTACAGCCATTCTGACTAGAGTGAAATGGAATCTTGTAGTTTTGATGTGCATTTCCCCATAGGAGCCTTCTTTTCAAGATTCCTGAGTTTGAACCAAGAGAACTTCTCTGGCTACTTTAAAGATTGAAGGGGTTGCCTTCTGTACATTAATCTTGTATTCTCTAGGCCCTCAACCTCACAATCACAGGCAATATCAATTTCCAGAAAAGGAGAATGTGGCAGCTCTCGGCCTTGCCAAAATCAGCTGTTCTGATGGCAGGGACACAGCTACTGAAGTTCACATGGATGCCTGCATCTCACACCCTCCAAGGTCTTGGCCTCCTGCTCGATGAAACCAAAGCAGTGATAGCTCTATATTGGCTGCTGTATTTATTTATTCACTCAACACTAAGTACCTTCTACCTGTCAAGCACTGTTTAAAAGCTGGAACGGTCACAGTGAACAAAATAAAGTTCCTGCTCTCAAGGAGTTTTACAATCTGGAGAGAAGCAGACCATAAACAAAGAAATATACAGATCATGTGAGGATAAATACTACAAAGAAAAAAAAAAGCAGGATAGAGTGGTAAAGATAGTTTGTGGATTTTAAAAGGCCTGTCTTTAGCAGACCTGAAAGAAAGAGGAAGTCATGCAGATATTTGAGTGAAATGAGAAACTGTCAAAGA